AAAAGAGGGAACTTGAGAACACAGGTTATTAAAAAGGTCTGATCCCATAGCCAGAGAGGCAGACGACCTGGGGCCTGGGGCTGCCTTCTGCGCTTGCATCCTCCCAGACTGTTTCCCTGTCAGCATGGGAGCCTGAGTGTTTTGATTCACTCCTTGTTATTGTTAGGTGCCCTTGAGTCTGTTCCAACCCATAGTGACCCTATGTACAACAGGAGAAATGCCACCCCATTCCTGCGCCATCTTCCCAATTGCTGTTAAGCTTGAACCTATTGTTGCTGTCACTGTGCCAGTTCATCTCCTTGGGGGTCTCCCTCTTTTGCACTGACTCTGCACTTTACCAAGCATGATGTTCTTCTCCAGGAACTGGTCCTTCTTGATAATATGTCTGAAACATGAGAGATGAAGTCTGGCTATCTTGGCTTCTAAGGCGCATTCTGGTTGTACTTCTTCCAACACAGATTTGTTTTTGTTCTTTTGGCAGTCCATGGTACCTTTAATATTCATCTTCAAAACAACTCTTCAATGGTCTTTCTTCCTTATTCATTATCCAACTTTCATATGCATATGAGGCTATTGAAAATACATGGCTTGGATCAGGCATTCTTTTGTCCTCGAACTGACATCTTTGTTTTTCAACACTTTAAAAATGTTTGTGATGTATTTAGGATACATTTACAAAGCATTTATTATGGGCCAGGTGCTATTCAAAGCACTTAAATATATGAACTCACTTGTTTTTCATAATAAGCTCAGGAGATAGATATAGTTCCTAGTATCATCCCCATATTACCCATGAGGAAACTGAGTCATGAAGAAACTTGCTGTAGGCCATATAGCTAGCAGGATTTAAATTTAGCCTGACATCAGATTAATAACCACTGTGCCCTGGACAGTAAGTAGGTACTTCAACTTTGTAGATGTCCTTTCTCTGGGTTCTGCAGCTCCAATCTCCACCAGGGAAGGAAGACCCTAAATCTTCCTGTCCCAGGCTTCAGGTCTACTTGCACTGATCTTCCAGTCCTCCTTCTCCTAAATAGGCACATCCTGAATGTGTTAGCCATTGGGCTAAGAACTTTAAACATTCATGTTTCATCTCCTTTAACTCTTACCACAGTCATATAAAGTAGGTAAACCCAAAACTAAACCCACTGCCATTGAGTCGATTCTGACTCATAGTGACTATAGATAGGATTTCTGAGACTGTGTATTTTTTTGGGAGCAGACAGTCTCATTTCTCTGCTGAGGAGTGAGTGGTGGGCTTGAACCACCAACATTGTGGTTAGAACTCCAATGCTTATACCACAGTGCCACCAACTGCATATCTTTATTATATATATATATAAACCTATCTAAGCCTCAGTTAATATATATATATATATATTAACTGAGGCTTAGATAGGTTAAGTGAGTTGTTCAAGGTGACACAGCTCTCAGAGTGGCAGAAGGAGGATTTGAATCCATTGGTCAAAGACCAATGTCTTTCCATTATATTTGATCCTCTCTGGCCCCCAAAGCTTCACCCTATACTCTAGCCCCTTTCTCTTTGCCCCGATTAGTTTTCTTGAAGCACACTGGTGTAGAAGCAAACTCAGTTGCTCTTCTTGGTTGCAGCAGACCTGTATTTATGGGTCCAAGTGGTCATCTCCAAGAAAAGCACCATCTGTACTTCCTGAGGTTTGGAACTGAGGATGTTATCTGAGGCCCAAATAGCTCCTTCTTTTCCTGTTTTGCAGTCCACGCCCCTTTGAAGCCAGCCTACTAAGTTCCTACTTCCTGTCTTGGGATCTTCCAACAGTTTACAAAGTACAGATGATGGGCAGATTCTAAATCCAATGAACAGAACACACCTATCAGCTCAGATTGTTGCTCCTCCTTTTTTCCCAGATCCTCTGGGATGACGCATAGCTCAAGTAGCTTTGAGGGAGTGTCTGTTCTCAATACTCTAAGCACACTTTCCACTGCTTACACAGACTTCCCACCAAGGATAAGAGAAAGCACTTCTCTGATCCCCAGCTGACTCTGGAAGATTTCAATGGCAGCATCAACTTCAGAAACTGTGCTTGGCAGTTGTCCTGACTGTATATTTGTAATTGTGGATTTTTTTTTGGTGTGTAACAGACACATCTGTGTGGTTGTATACATCTTTGGGAGCATGCTTTTCAGTAGAGATCAGATAGGTGCAATTCTGTATGGTTGGGCTCATGATTTGAATGATATACTTGTGTGTTTGTGCACAGAAGTTTGTTGATGAATTTTTGAAAGTATGGTGTATATATGCACTTCTCTGTGTGTGCACAAGCACGATGTACAAGTTACATAAAAGTCTGTTGAAGAAAGTTTCCATATCCAGAACATTAAGAAAAGGTTTTGGCAGAGGACCCTAGGACCAGCAAGAGGGAAAAGCATGAGCAGAACGTGGGATCCTAACCAGAGAAGCAGGGACACTAGAGTGGGAGGCATAGACTATGGCATGGAGAGATAGAGCATCTGAGGACTCTAGACTCATGGAAAGAGAAAAGCTGTGTGCTGATGAGCAGGGGGCTGGTTTGCAAAATGTGTCCTTTAGTTATTTAAACAATTGTATATTCCTGTGTGTTTTAGTGTACATCAAAAAGGGGGATTGTGATCATTACAGTGAAACAAGATGCAATTGGTTGAGTGCAAAACTGATGTTCTGCCATGTAGACTATCACTCAACTGACAATAAAGCTTTAAAAGAAAGAAAAAGAAAGGTTTTGGAGGGAGACAAGACAAGAGAGGCAGAATGGAGAGAAATGGGAAAATAGGAATTAGGTTTAATGCCTCATAAACAAGGGAAGGGACATTTTGTTAAGTCATAAATGTCCCCAGACAGATGCAGACAGGTTTGCAGCAACCAGAAAAGTCATTTATAGCAAAGAATAGAAAGGAGGCTGTGAGTTGGGAATAAGTGTGTACTAGTCTCACCAGACCTACTCCCAGTTTTAAGAGTGAGGGATGGGAGAATCTGGTATAGTATCTCCTCGTCCCACAGGCCCAGGGCCCAGCCAGTTTCCCACAGACCTTCTGGCTTCCCTGAGTTCAAGATAATTTGGGATAGGTGGAGGGCAAGGACAGCTGGTAGGCTTGCTGGTGATCATCACTTGTTCTGCCTACTCCAAAGGCAAGGAAAGAGCCTCCCTCTTCCAGTAGCTGAAAGGTTTCGCTGACTTCAGAGGGATCTAGGAGGAGGGAAGCCTCTGAAGTGGGAAAGCTTTTGCTGAGCCTGTAGGTTAATCAGCCCCTCCCTGGATCCTCATTATTGAGGTAGTTGGGTATGAAATGTCTTGATTTGAAGGCCAAAAAAGAACCTGGGGCTGTGTTAATGACCAGCCAGCCAGCACCAAAGTTAAGTCTGAGGCAGGGGACTGACTCTCTTGATCCTGAAATTCTGTCTGCACTGCTTTGTTGTGCAGTGTCCTATTTTTCCAGAGCTTGTCTCTACTGCCTTAGCCCTGTCCCCAACAGGACCGTAAAGATGCTTCAAGAGGGGGAAATTCAAGGAGTCCAAGAGATGGGCTTCTAATATGGTTATACCCCAAGACCAGTATAGCGATGGCATTTTATTTAAGTGCCAGTGCAATAAGAAGATGATAAAGCAGAGATGTATACAATGAACTAGGAACTTTATATTGTTTCATTTTTATGTTGATGTTGACAGTAGTGCAATGAACTAGAAGACAGACATCCTTGTACCTGTTTTATAGATAATAAAAACAAGGGTCAGAGTTCAGATCTACACTTGTAAAATTCAGTGTGGCTGAGACACTTGTGCATATGTCCTGGTTCCAACTCTACAACAACATAAAGTAATTTTCAACTGTGTCCCCCAATGGAGGGAGGCAGAACTTTGAGCTGGACTTTGAAGTAGGAGTAGGAGTTTTCTTGGGGGGAGGAAGGAGTGTTAACAGGGCATTGCACCCAAGAGATGAAGTGGGAAGGTGTGAGAGTGCTTATCTTAGTGGAACACAAGGCCAGTGGTAGCCAGCCATCAGGGGAAGGTGTTACTAATGAAAAGGAAAGTAAGTTTGAGGGTCTTGAATGATAAAACGAGTTTGACTTTTCCCCTGTAGGCAACAAAAGTGGATCCAGGCACTGCTGATTCTAACCCAAGGAAGAATGGGCCTTCTACTTCCATTGGGGGAAATTATTGGATAAGCAATGTCAATTCGGAAGTCAGAGAGCACCAACTAGGAGATACTGCTGCAGAGAAAGAAGTGAGATTACATGAAGGTGTGAACAGGACTCCTGGCTTGGGGGGAAGTGACCCAGGAGTAGGGACACAGGGAGGGAGTCCCTGGCTACAATGCCCAGAAAGGCTAACACAGTCCCTAGCACAGGGCAGCCACTCTATGGCCATTCTCACCTTTCACTCAGCCTGGGGGCCTCCACAGGTTCTGCATTGAGCCTCATGCCTCATTGAGAGGTTATTAATAGGGAGTGTGTCTGGTGTCAGAGCGCAGACATAAACTGCATTAGCATTACCCCATAATCTTATTTAGTATACACTCACGCCGCTCCGTCTCCTGTAATTGCATTGGGAAGATGCAATATTTATGAAAGGGGAGAGGGGGATGTCACTGCTCATCTTGGAGCTGCAGTAAAAGTCCCGGGAAATCTGAGCCTGGTCTTGGGCCTGTGAGACTGAGCAGAGTGGGTGCTTTGTGGCTGTTCACTTGGGGGTGATCTGGCCTGGCCTAATCCAGAGTTCCCCACGCCACTAGCTCTCCTGAACTTTGGGCAGAGGGATGTGAGTATGGGACGAAGGTAGCAGTCATTTCTTTTGGAAGTCAGGGTTCCTGCCAGACATGTCACATAGATCTCAGATACTCTGAGCCCTTCTGGTACAAGGCTCCATCCAAGCCATGGCTCGCTGCAACTCCCGGTTGGATTTCTTTTTGCCCCAAGGCAAACCCACCAGAAATGGAACACCCCAAGGACATGTGTTTTCCTGAATAACCTGGGCTCAGTGAAACTCAGCTATGGTGGACCTCAAAGGGTGAGAAACACCAGCAGGAGTCCTGGCTGAGGTCACCTCAGAGTTAAAGCTGTGGCTGCCACTGGAACCCCCCACCCCCACCCCATGCCCTTTGCAGTCTTAGATTCTGGGCACAGTGTTCCTCCCCACTGTCCTGGGGGACTGGGACTCAATCCCTTGTCCCTCTCCTTCAGTCAGGCCTCCTGCTTCTCTGCTTCTGGTGGAAGAGGCAAATGTCAAAGGTTGCTCCATGGGACTCTGGGACGGTGGCTGTGCTCCCACTGAAAATGCCATGGTCTCCGTAGAGATTTACAGCCTTGGAAACCCTGTGCAGGATCGCTATGAGTCGGAACCGACTCCACAGCACATAACAACCACCACCACCACCACTTTGGGGGCTGGCTGGTGCTGGAGGACGCATGGGTGCAGAAACATAGACAAGCTCCCTGTCATGAAAGTCTCAGGCAACCTTGAAGAGAGGAGTTCTTTCCTAGTTGCTGCCTTTCCCCATGGGGGAGGGCAGTGGGGTAGAGGGGCCACTGTGACACCAATCTCTAAGGAGCATGAAGAAGTCAGGATCAAAGAGCTCAGCAAATGGTTGCATGCTCTTGGGAACCTTAATTGAGGAAGGATGAGCCCGTGGGTGCAGTAGAGGGCATCACAGCACCTAGGAACTCCTGTCCACTGCAGCCACCACGGGGTCTCTGAAGAAGTGGCTCTGAGAAGAGAGGGCAGGTGCCCAAGCCAGACTCCCCGGTCTTATGGCGACTGAAGCAAGAGCTCAGTCTCCTACGGACCCCATCATACCTCACACCCACGTCCAGTCCCCACGTTCACACTGCGCTCCCACTCTACACTTCACACATCGTCAGCATCTCTCTCTAAGCACCCCCTCTTAGCACCCCTAGTCAGCAGCACCCCCTGGCAGCACTCCTTCATGCCTCCCCGGCCTACAGTTCCCGGACGCTCGCACACTTCCGCAGTCAGGTCCGCTCGTTCTCCACTCTCTCACACCACAGCCCTCTCTCTCAGACACCCACTGGTCTCATTCCCATCGGCGGCGCTCACCTCCTCCCTGCCGCCCACCCTTCCGGAACCCAGGGCAGCTGAGAGCCCGGAGAAGGCGTGTGGAGGCGGGCCGCGGCCCCTCCCCGTGTCAGCTCCTTTGCCGCCACCCCATTAATCACAGAGCCGCGTCCAGTGGGGGATCCCCGGCACGCAGTGCCACGCGCAGCCCGCGGGACAATGGGATTATTTCCGGAGGGAGAGGCTGCCTCGGGCCGGGGCTCAGGCGGCCGTGCCTCCTTCCCTCAATCCGTCCCTCGGCACACTGGAGCGCCTGCGGCGGCCAGGGACGAGTACCAGAGCGGGCGCGGGTGGCGCACGGGTGGCAGGGCCGGGCCCGCCTAATTCAATTAACCGGGCGGCTGCCGCATCCGCGCAGCGCCTGGCCTGCGGGGCGCCCGCCCGGGCAGCTGTTCTTTGTGCGCGGAGCCCATGCATATGGATACTGTCCCGCTCGGGTCTCCCGTCGGCGTTCCCTTTCCGGCACCTGCGGCTCCCTCGCCTCTCAGAGAAGGCGCCTGGCCTCACTAGCAAAGTTGGAAAATGCGTGTGGCGGCTTGTGGTTGCGCGTGGAGGGTCTGCGTGGAAGAGAATGTACCTCGTAGATGCGTTTCTTGGTGCGGTTGGATGTGTCCGTATGCACCTGTGTTCTGTGCGTGAAGGGAGGGGTTTTGTTGGCTGGTTGATTGGGTTTTGATCTGGTCCACCGCTTGTGGGAGTGGTGGGCTGGTCTGTGGATACCTGGGGGAAGGGAAGGACAGGGGAGAGGGGGCTCCCTGAGCATCTATGGAGATCACACAAAGTGTGTGTCTGGGTATAAGCCGGTGCTGGCTCCCAAAGACCCGCACCTGGGGTGTCTTATGTTCATCATCTGTGTATGTGCTGTGGTCTGGGGAGTAGTCAGGACACCCACTAGAACGCACTGCTCCCCACTCATTACCTCCCGCTGGGCCTTTTGGGGGGCCCAATCCATCCCCCTTCACCCTGCTGCCAGCTTTCTGATGGAGGGGGTTTTGGCAAGTTAATTTCTAACCTGAACTTCAGCTCAGCTCCTTTGCTCAAAGGCCACTCTTCTGATCCACAGGTTCATGGAGGAGGCAAGACCCCAGCGTCCAGGACTTCTCATCCTGCCGACTGGTTCAAGCTAGCGCTGTTCTTTGGTTCCAGGACAGCCTGGCTGCGTGGGACTCAGTGGATGCCTACCCACTTCTGCTGTAAACTGAGTCCTGAGCCGTCCCCCCAAATAACACAGCCTGTTGAGGCCAAGGTGGCCAGAGCTCCTAGGGGTGATTGTGAAATCACTAGCTCCCCTTCTGGGATCACAACCCAGAATTGGACCCTTGGCCAAATGCAGAGGCTATTTCCCTTTCAGCTGGGTTGGAAATCTCATCTGCCCTTTCTCAGAGGCTAGACACATAGCTGACTGGGTAAGAAATGTGGGTAGATTTAGCCAGCCCAAGGAGTCCTGATGTGGTGCTGTAGGGTAAGCACTGGACTTGCTAGCTGCAAGGTTATCAGTTCAAACTTACCAATTGCTCCTTGGAAACCCTATACAGGGTTAATATGAGTCCGACTTGATGACATTTAACAACAACAACAGGCAGCCAGAAAGCTTGCCTCTTTCCTACGCAGAGCAGGTGAAGCGCAGAGGTTTGACCTGTGAACCAGGACAGGAGCATTCCAGCTGGGTGCATCCTAGGGAGTAGGGTGGCTCTTAAAAAAGCAATGGTGCCCCTCAGAGAGGCTTACCCTCTTGTAACCAACCAGTCTCCTCTCCCTGCTTGTGGGATCTGGGTACTGGCAGCTGCCTGGAATTCCTGGGACCCAGCAGGCAGAGTAACCCCTGGGACCTGGAATTTCAGACCCACCTGGTGAATAGAATAGAGCCCAGGGTCTGAGAGCCCTGAGTAAGAATGTCAGGGTCTTGGACAGAACTGGTGAGAACCCAGCTCAGCCTGCCGGGAGGGGCAGTGACCAGGGAACTTTCTGGGAGTTGTTAGAGGAAAGTAAGGATATGGGTCTATTCCACCCTGAGCCATCTCCTCAACCCCTCCACCTTTCTGGGTCCTGGCATCCTGGGAGATGTCAAGCTTGGAGGATGTGCCCTGCCAAGTACACTGGGAGGTTCGACCAGGCTGGGTGGTGGAACCAGAGAGTCTCTGGGCCTCCCTTAGGTAGGATAGGTCAGAGAGAGGCCTTAAGCCCTTAATTGCTGCCCTAGATGAGGGAGAAAATAGCCAGCAGCTTTCTTGCCAGTCAGAGCTGAGAGACCGGGGATTGGAAAGGCCTCATTGCTGCAGAGCAGAGTGAGAGCCCATCTCCTTCTCTGCTACAGCCCTTGGTTTTGAACCTGGGCTCTGATGGGGGTGGGCTGAGAGGAGGGATCTGTGCTCGGTCTTGTACTGCAGAGAGCAGTACCCAACCAGACACCAGATAACAGTGGAGGCATGGCCAGCAGCAGGAAAGTGCTTGTCCTCCAGGAGAGAGGGGAATGCGCGGTGGCTCTGCAGATCAAACACAGTTCTGCGGTTCAGTTCAGCCCATTAGCCATTCCACAGAAGAAAGATGAGGCTTTCTGCTCCCGCAAAGACTTACAGCCTCTGGAACCCCATATAGGGTTGGAACCGACTCGTTGGCACTTCACAACAACAACAGGAGGAGAAGTGTGTGCCTAAGTGTTGGGAAGGACCTCTATCCCTATTACTATAAGAATTGGTTGGGGCACATGGAATACAACCAGACCCCAAGGAGTCAGTGAGTTGGTGGCTGGAACCAGCCTGGCCTCCCCACTTAATCCTCATTAAACCTAGGCTCTCCGAGACTATGGGCTACCTCCAGTATGGAGTGATCTTTACTGGGTTGCTAAGTCATTAGCTGGGGCTGCCTCCCCCTCAGAAAGGGCAATTTTTCTATCACTAACTCATACTGAGACAGATGGGCAAAACAGAAGGGCACCTTTGATATTGGACCAAGACCCTAATGTCTCCCCTTCATGTTACATATCTCTAACACATTTCTCAGCCCATCCCACACTTTTCCTACTAAATACCCATTGGGCATACTATGTCCCACAGATCTGTGCATGCCATTGAATGGCACATCCTTATCATGCAGAGGAACCTACTCAGCCTATCCCATGTGCCTCACAGAGAAGCAGTTGTAGAGACACACACTCTCACGCACTGGCATCCTCATGGACACCCACTTCTTGACACAGACAAATCCAGTTGTAAAGACAACCTAGACTCTCTTTCTCCCAACACTTTTAACAACACTCGCTTTGTTTGTATCCCACCTAACACAGTGCCCAACACACAGTCCACATTCAATCAATATTTTTGGAATGGAAAAAAAAGATTATTTAAAGATGTACCCAGTACATCTGCTCAGCTTTCTCTACCCTCACAGTCACACACACTTCACACCTGCTGTCCCCTCACAGGAGCAGAGTCCCACAAACACAAAGTAATTAAGTTACCACACACACCCCTAAGCAAAAGGACAACCCCTGGCCCGGGGGTCTCTCCCAGAGGGGAAAGGGGCTGTGTGGGATCCAAAGGGAACTCCTCCCTGTGGCTGAATCCTTCCCTTTCTCCTCCTCTACCCCCCAGCTTCTGCCCCAGCTGCGCCTTTTTTAATTGGAGGCATTTCTTTATTCAGCAGGCGAGGGAGGGGGTGGCTCTTGAAGCAGGAGTCACCAGGTGGCCTCAGGGCTGGAGAGAAGGGTCTACAACTCACCTAGGTGTATGCAGGCAACACAAGGACGGCATCTGCCAAGTTTGGACTTGAGGAAGCAGTTTAAGACGAAAGGCGTTGGAAAACTAACATTTGAGTCCAGTCTTTGCCCCTTGGGGTCCTCAATGTCTTGATTTCCTCATCTGCAAAATGGGGATAATAAAATTTATCTCACAGGATTATTGGAGGATTATCAAACAAGATAACTACAGCTCAGACCATTTTGTGAGTCCTTGCTGTTTTTGTTCTTTCCTAACAGAGCTGCTCTGTGAGAGGGGATGGCCTAGGCAAGCTGCAAAAGAAAAAACACTGTGGAAACAGCAGCTGCACAAATGTACGCTCCGCACGAATCTCCTCCCCCATTTCAGAAAACTTTCCAGCCTTCAGCTCTGTGCTCAGGTAACATTGCTTCCGGGAGAAGGGGCGGGAACCAGAGCCCAAAGAATCCTGACCCTTTTGTCTCTTCTTTCTGGGTGAGGGAAGGAGCCAAGAGGGCAATCCTGAACCCTATTGGAAAAGGAAGGCTAAGGACAAGGGGACTCATAGAAACCCAGCTGGGGGAGGCCAGCACCCAGGAGAACTGGATAAAAGTTGACTGATAAGCGAAAGAGGTGGGTGGAAAGTAACACGAAGCAGTCGGTCAGGCAGCAGCTGTGAGGGCAAGGGGAAGTCAGAATGTCCCTGAGTTGCTTGATTGTGTGATTATAGAGTCTGGTGGTCTTAGAGGCCCCCCAGGCAGCTGTGAACTGTCTACTTAAGCTGGGCCAGCAAGGTCTTCTCCCAGGTACCCTGAAAAACTAGCGCCAGATGTAAGGCGTTCCAGAGGTGGGTCAGATGCCAAAAAGGTTGCAACAGACTGGATTGGAAGGCCAGAGCAGCTAGAAAGGTGCATGTAGATGAGGGAAAGGAGCTGGAAGAGTGTTTGAAACACTCAAGAGGTTTGCTTCATGGGGCCCGAGAATAGCAAAGAATTGTCCTAATGATTAAGTTAGAAAGACAGAGCTTTAACTACAGCAAGCAGGACTGAGGTTAGACCCGAATGTGACTGAAAGGAAGCAGGGCCACTAGGACCCCGCCTCATAGGAAGCTTAGTACCCCTACCCATAGTTTTCAGCTTCATACAGAGACAGCAACTCCAGTTTTGTGATACCAAATCAACCCTCTTCTGACTGTGAGACATTGTGCAAGTTTATTCACATTACCAATCATCCATTTCCTTTTCTCTTTTTAAATGAGCTATAACTCACAAATCATACAATTTAGTTTTTCCAAAATGTACATTTCAGTGATTTTTAGTATATTTACAAAATTATGTAATTGTTCCCAAACCAAACCAGTTGCCATTGAGTTGATTATAATTCATAGTGGCCCTCTAGGAAGAATAAAATTTCCCCAGGTTTCCAAGGCTGTAAATTTTAGAAGCAAGCGGCCACATCTTTCTCCTGGTGGCAGCTGGTAGGTTTGAACCACCAACTTTTGGGTTAGCAATTTAGTGCTTTAAATCACGCCACCACAGGGTTCTTTGTGGGATCATCACTACTAGCTGATTTTGGAATACTTTCATCACCCAAAAAAGAAAAAAAATTTTTTTCCATACCAGTTCACAATCACTCCCCATTCCTCCTGAAGCATCCCCCCCCCCCCCCCCCCCCACACACACACAATCTGGCAACCACTAATTGACCTGCTGTCTCCATGGATTTGTACACTCTGGACATTTTGTATAAATGGGATCTTACAATCTGTGACCTTATGTAGCTCACTTCTTTCATTTAACATAATGTTTTCTTAGTTCATCCTTGTAGCATGAAAGAACACTTCATTACTTTTTATGGCAGAATCATAGTCTATTATTTGATATACTGTATTTTGTTTATTCATAAGTAAACAAAATGGACAGTTTGGTTGTTTCATCTTTTGAGCTATTATAAATAATACTACTAGGAGCATTCATTCAGTTTTCTTAATTATAAACAATAGGGACATTTTTTGGTAACTTCCTGGTTGTTGTCAGTCTTAAAGGTGTTATATGGTGCCTGGCACAAAAGAGTTAACTCAGTAAACACTTATGTTTAACTCTGTTTTGCTTCTCTCAAGAGAAGATTCAGAAATGAGACTCATTCAGTTCAAAATAACTTCCTAAATAAGTCATGGAGCCTCCTGCATAGGGGTTGTTGTTTGTTGTTTTTAAGTTCCGTTGAGTCGGTTCTGACCCATAGTGACCCTGTATAGGGTTTGCAAGGAGCAACTGGTGAGCTTGAAGCACCAACCTTGTAGTTCAAAAGGCTTTGCAGTCTGCATAGGGGTGCTGTACATGAAAAGGATCCAGTGAATGGGGAGGACAAAAGTAGAGAATGAAGCTCTCCCCTCCTGTCTCCACTTAGTGTTTAGTAACCATCATCAACTTTACAGACTTTGTTTTCAGTGGGTCTTTGTCCACCTCCCCGTAACTTGAACAAGATTTCCCATAGAGACAAGATTCCAACCAGCAGCTAGGCTTCCAGGATGACCCACAAAAGCGGGTTGAATTCAACTCCTTCATTTTGATCAGAACACTTTGCCTGTCTAAAATTTGGTTTCCTAAAATTTGGTTCACATTTGTAATGTAGGAATAATACTCATCTCAAAGGGTTGGTGTAGAATTAACTTTATATTGTGCTTTACTGGAGTCCTGGTGTGGCGCTGTGGGTTAATGCGCTGGACTGCGACCTTGACCTGGAAAACTCTATACAGGGTCGCTATGGGTCAACTCAATAGCATTTAACAACAACATAGCATTTATTATCATCTGACTTAGTATCTATTTACTAAAATTATTTACTAAATATTATTTAAATATAATTTATATTCTATAACATATGACCCTTTGTGTGTGGCTTCTTTGAACTTGTTGTTCAGGCTCATAGTGACCCTGTATAGGGTTTCCAAGGAGATGCTGGTGGGTTTGAACTGCTGACCTTGTGATTAGCAGTCCAATGCTTATCCTACAGTGCCACAACAGGACTCCTTTCACTTAACCATAATGTTTCTGAGGTTCATTAGTGTTGTGGCATCAACCAGCACTTTATTCCTTTTTATGGCTGAATCGTATTCCATTATATGGATATACCACTTTTTGTTTATCCATTGGTATACATTTACAGCCTATTAATGTTATATTATAATTATAATTATAAAATATTTATATATTTACTTGCTAATTTCTGACTCCCATCTACTAGAATTTAAGCTCTGTGAGGGCAGAGACTTTACTCCAGTCATTGTTGTAGCCCCAGTGCCCAAAACAGTGCCTGACACACAGCGATTACTCAATAAATATTGTTGCATAAAGAGATTCCCTCATTTCATTTTTCATTCAAGATGAGGATATCTTGTGGGTTAGGGCCATTTTCCATGGGGGGGGCGGGCAGAAGTGAGTAATCCACTCCCTGTTGCCAAAGAACTCTTTAAGGGGAGATGACAAACATTGCAAAAGCAAACAGATTGCAAGGAAACTTGAAAAGTGGTATGTGAAGGCATCTAGCATCTGAAGGTGCTTTGAATCTGAAACTGCTGTGAAATAGACTGGAAATGAACCCCAAATAATCTAACCTGTGCCTTCCCCAGAGCTTGGCTCCTCAGAGGGAGCAGACCTTTTTTTACCAGAGAGGGAAAGAGAAAAGCTGAAAAAGGGTTTCCTCCTTCTCTTCTGGGCTCTAAACTAGGCATCCAGAAGCAGAACTTTGAAAAGCCTTGAATTTGTCCTAGATGCATTTTTCGGATCCACCATTTTCAGTCCCCAAAGTCTTAAGCCCCTAGATTTCAAAAGTAAGACAATAACTCTTTTCTAGGCTTCTTGCTGGAAGTCGCTGGTTGCTAGGTGGAAAACAACTGGGTTGAGTTAATTCACCTGCTGTGTGAACTGCTTCTACTTAAAAAAAAAAAGGGGGGGGGGCGTATCTTGAAGCCATGTGCATCCTAGCAGCAGGTCCCAAGGCAACTCTCTTGAGTTGTGCCTGCCTTTTAGAAAGTCTTCCCTTCCTCAGTTTCTCTAAAAGATTGAGTTGGAGTGGTTGTTGATTGATTGATTTTCAACATTATAGAACCAGTTAAGTCGTTCCTAGACTCCTGATATAAGGAGGGGACAAGCCTGAACTCACCTCCTGCCTCAGGGACCTGTACTCCATACCTGGGGAGTAGACAGTCTTCTACTTTCTAACTAGTCGGACTTGAAGTTTAGAATGAATCGTCTGCTTGAGTGGCAGGTGTTTCCCAGCTGAGCCCTTGGGGAGATTCTCGGCTGTGCAGGGACACTCTTTCCCCAGAGGCCTGGTGGGCTGCAGTCTTTTGACCTCGTTCAAAGCGAGGGGTGTCTCCTGTTTGGTTGGGAGGAGGCTCTGATCTCCTTCTCCTTAGGTTCATCTGCCCGTCCGACTCTGGGAATAACCACGTCCAGTTCATTTTCTTTCTCCTTTTACTTCTATTTCTGTTCCCCTCTTCTCACTCTTCCTGAACTCCTCCTAGTCTCGGTCTCCGATCTCAGTCCCTCAGTCTCTGGCTCCTGCATATGTCTCGGCTCCGGACCTCCCTCTCCCCCTTCCTGCCCCTCCCCCGCGCTGTCATTCACCCCGCTCCTCTCCGCGCGCAGCCAATGGAGAGACCCGGCCAAAACGGCTCGGCTCGCTCGCACCGGGCTTTTTCGCCCGGTGATTGATGTCCCAGAGTCAACAGCGAGCGAGCAGCCGGAGAGGGGAAGGAGCAGCCGGAGAAGGGAAGAATACAGCGCCCCCTCTCTCTCTCCCCTCCCCCTACTTTAGCTCTCCCTGAGCACTTCGCCTCCAAGTTTCTGCACAGCCGCCGCCGCCGCCACCTCTGCGCCCCTGTGCGCTGCCCCCTAGCCCAGCGCCGCGAGCGCTGTCGCTCGCCCCCCCCCCTCCGGGGGGTCGGGGCCGGCATGGAGCACCTGGGTCCGCACCACCTCCACCCCGGTCACGCGGAACCCATCAGCTTCGGCATCGACCAGATTCTCAACA